TTAATTTTATTTTCTCATTCAAATTTTTTTTTACATAATTTTGCACTATAAAAACTAGTTTATTATCAATAAATATATTTTAATTTAATAATTTAATTATATTTATTATAAAATAAATAAAATATTACTAATATTTTATATACAAATTATTATTTTTAAATATTATTGAAATCATTAATTTGTATAATTATTATAATGTGCATGGTTATTTTGGTACTTTCAAATAAAATAATATCTAATTTTTAGTAATACTAAATGCAGTGATTTTTAATTATTAAAAATTAATAAATTTTAATCAAATAAAATAAATTTAGATCACAAGTGATAAAATTACCTTAATAATAAAATCACCTTAACGATTAAATTACTGTAATGTCTTGAAAATAATATCAAACGTTACCATAAAAGTTACAAATAAAATTGGTGATTTACCTTTAATTATTATACTAAAATTTGATTATGGCTATTGTTTTAGATTTATAGCAAAAATTGAAAAAAAAAAAAACGTCTTTGCTTGTAACCAAAGTTTTAAAATTAAGTTCAAATTAAAAAAAAAAGTTCTAAAATTAAGTTCAAATGGTTTGTTTGTAACCAACGAGAGTATAATTCCAAAGCACAATGCCTATGACGTTAGGAAGACTGTCTGAATTCAAATTTTAATGTTTTATTCAATCAAATAAATAAATTACAATCATCTTTAATATATAAGATTATAACAAAATAATATCATAATATATTAGTCTGGAGATTTTATTATTAGATATAAAATTAAAGAGCTATTTAGAAAAATTTCGTCGTCGAATTTGTTTTAATATTTTCAAAGTAAAGCAGATCATAATTCTTTTATACAAATATTTTGGTATGATTCTAAAAATTAAAAAAAAAAAATCATTGCTTATGATTTCCTTTTAATTTCATCATCCATGAGAATTTATTTATATTTTGAAATGTTTATTTATTGTTTGTATTATTATTGAGGTAAGTAAAATTTTATCGGTCAAAATTTTCAAAATATTTTCAATACTTTTGGATTATCTCGAAAAAATCTCTTGTATAGAAATTTTGATAAAATCATTACTTTTGACTTTATCTTTACTCTATTAATAATATTTTTTTGTGCTTGAAAAATTTTAAAATATTTCAAACACTTTTATAAGATTTTTAAAAATTTCTTTGTATGAATATTTTCAATAAAATCGTCGTTTATAACTTTATTATTATTTTTATAATTGAAAAAGAAAACATTTTATAAAAATTTTATTAGAAAAGTTCTCAAAAATATTCTCAACGGTTGTGGTATATTTTCAAGAAAATTTCTTGATTTAAGATCATCTAAAATCACAATTTCTGATTTTATTTTAATTTTATAATTTTGTTTATTATTGCTTTTTTTTTATTTTTGTTATTCATTCTTGTTCGTAAAATTTTTATTTCATTTTTTCATTTTCATTTTTATTTTTTTAAAAATGTTTGAAAAAAATGATGTTTCCATTTTTCTAAGTTTATTTTTCTAATAATTATTTCTAAATGAATTTCAACTAAGAATATTTTATTTCATTTAAATATTTTTTACCATTTATTTTATTTTCCTATCAAAAGTTCATATAAAAATATCATAAAAATCAAAAATAAAATAATAAAAATTTTGAAAAAAGTTATAATAAAATACCAAAAATGTCCCTGACCTAATCAATGCGATCAACTGCAGCTCAACTTGATCAGCAGCTCAGCTTTATAACTTGTGAAATGAAACGGCTCAAACGGATCGACTTAGCTTAGGTGGGTCAAGGTCTAGAATGACTCGACCTGGTTCATCAACAGTTTAACCTGGTTCAACGCGGTTTTGGAACAGTTTAATTCAGTTAGGTCTAGGATTGATATCGGGTCGGGTTCGAAGTGGGTTTTGCTCGTCTCGAATCTAATTTGATTTTATGTGTTATTAAATCCGAACTCGATCTTATTCGAAATTTTTTTATTTTTTCATACTCGATCACGATCCGATATTATAAAACGGCACCCGATCCGACCCGAAATTAATAAGATATTATTTTTGAAATATAAATATTTAAAAATATCATTATATAAATATATATAAATAAATAATCAAAAAATTAATTAAAAAATAATTTTTTATATAATATCAGTTCGAATTATGGGTCGGGTTTACCTAAAACCCAAATCCGACCCAAACTCGATTGTTTTTTAATCTTTCCCAATCCGAAACTCAAATTTCAAAAAAAAAATTGACCTCATAAAATCGGATTAGATCAAAACTCATCGAAAATTGATTGGATTGCCGACCTAGTTAGGTCGGGTTCAAACTGGTCTAAATTCGGTTCGTCTATTAACAGAAGTCGGATTAGATTGGTCGAACCAACGGGTCCATTTTGGTTTAAGCCACAATCATTATTTTTTTTCTTTCTTTTCTTTTTCTTAATTTTTCTTCCTTTTTCTTCCTTCCGCTTCTCCCTTCCTGCGCTTTCTCTCTACCTAGAGCCTCTCTTTCTAGACGATTTTAGGCTACTGCTCTAGTCGTTGAAGCTGCTGTTGGCCGCAGTCGGTTAGCATCTTTTTAACCCCAAATTTTTACCACGGACTTCTCTTAACCTCTTCTTTCACGTTTAAGGCTCAGTTTCACGTAAATGCCATTGGATTTTCTTAAATCTAAACTCAAAACCCATGTCTTCTCACCATTTTTCATTGTATCCCATTGTCTGATTCAGTCCAAACCAACATATGTTGTTCTCCTCCTTCTCCTCTCCCTTTTCACCGTCCACGATCACCCCAAACTTCAACGCCGTCACCGACGCTGCTTGTTTTACCTTTTTTTTTTTTTTGTTTTCTGATGGATTCCTCAATAAAGGATTGTGGCTCTCTTTTTTGTTTTTATTTTTTTGACAAGGAAAGAAAGATTTTATTTTTGTAGATTTGTAGATTTGGTTGGTTTTAAGACTGTGAACAAGGTAACTATCAGAAGCCATTTTTTTGTACTTGCTGTTTGTGTGCTTTAGGGGAGGTTGGGGTATTCTTTGGATTGGCAGTGGAGTTGGGAACAGTGGTTGGGGGATTGGTTTTTGATGAGTTCTATTTAGGTGGTTTAGGTGAGTAGTCATATTGGAGGCAGTGGGAAGGGAGATTGAATAGGGTTGCCTGTTGAAATTGGCCCCCCCTTCATCTATGTTTTCATGCTCCATTTAAGGAGCTAATATCATGTTCAAATCCTAGAAAATCTGGGATTTCAAAAAGACTTTTAGGAAATGGCCAAAAAAAAGGGGTAGCAAACGGTTGGAAGCTAGGACTTTTGCTCCTTCCGTCCATAAGAATTTCTTCCCTTTTCTTTTTATTTTTTTTTAAGTTTAATTTATATAATAATGGATAACATGATCAAATACTCGAATGAATTTAAAATAACCCATAAAAATCACGAATGCAATTTGAATATAATTTCGATCAGTCAAGATAAAAAAATTAAATGTCTAATAAGATAAAATAATATTATAATTAAGATTATATTAAACAATATAATTTTATTTTATGTTTGATACATGTAATGAATAAGATAAGATAATTTATTTATTTATTAAAATTATTTTTTAAAAAATTTATATAATTTAAATTATTGATATAATTTTAAAAATATAATTAGATATGTAAATTTAATTTTATAAATTAAAAATATTTTTTTAAAAAAATTCAATAATTTAATATTAAAAAATATTAAATTTTTTTATAATTTTATTTTTTAAAAATACAAATTAAATATAAATAAAATTAATATTATTTTATTTTATTAATATTGTTATATATCAATCATAACCTACATAAATATCGAGTTGGATAAGGGTTAGAATAGAAGGGTGGATTAAGGACTTTAAAAATAAATAAGTAAAGTCCCCACTCCCCGTGCAAAGCTTGGGAATGAACCTAGGACCGAGCAGGCTTACTCAACAGTCAACACCCCTGACCTATTCAACCAATTCAAAGCCCTTCAAAGTTTTTCTTTGCCCAAACCCAATTTGTCAAATTTAGTTCTCCACCATTAAACCCATAGCCCATTCGATACATATGCTTAACACTTGACCCATTTGGAATAAGAATTAATCTGACTTCCACGAGTTCTGTTGCCGAGTATTTAAGATTGAGGGCCTGCTAGGGTTACATACATGTGTGTTTTGTGAATTTGCGTAAGGCCAAGATTCCAATGAAACCATGTATATATTTGCCCTAGGTTTATATGACTTTGATTGGGATTTGGGAGGATTTTGTTTCTTTTATCTCCGTAATTTCCACAGATTTTACCCCAAATGTTTTCATACGAAACTAGTTAATCGATGCTATTGTCGCCTCCTTAACTAGGATTATGGGCAATGTTAACTGTCAATGTAGCCCGAGCAGTAAACAAATAGTAGTATATATATCATATAGAGACCAACTTCTGCCACATATGAAATAGCAACCGCACATATAAGACCGCAATGCATGTTTTGCCAGTTTGCGTTTATGGGGCAGAGAATTTCTTGCACTTCATGATGATGATGCAATTTGTTACGTCAAGAATCCAATGTTTTTTCACTTCAAGATGATATCCTATTGTTTTTGAATTCTTAGCCAAACATAGCACCATTCCGACACATGATTGTCTTTAGTTGATGTCTCAGTTCTCACTTCTCATTCAACAGGAGATACCCTAATAATGTTCCAGCAAATTCACTAGCCTATATCTTCCATCGTTATGTTGTTGTTTTTATCCTCTTTCTTGGATATTTATATTTGGACTGATCAACCCTTTGCTTTGCTCAAGAGCCTGAAAATCAACTCCTAGTGCCGATGTCAGGGCTGGTAATTGACCTGCAATTCACTATTGCAATATATATAGCCAAAAATGAAGCATTCTTCCATGCAATAATCTAAAGAAACAAAAATTTATAATTTAATTGGGGATTCAAAAACTATCAACCATCATATTCATTCATTAATTAAATTACAGAGCCCGTCTAAATTTAGTGAAAGAAATAGTAGTATTTATTTTAGAAGTTGGTTAAGGAAATTTTCAGACATGTAGGGAAGATGCAGCGTCCTCAAGTACCTCAAACCCATCAAATGATGGAGGAAAAGGACCGTGGCCAGGGCCAAAAGCCTTGATGTGGTCTTTGAGTGATCTCTTATGCTTGAAATCAGAACCGCAAACACAAAGCCAACGCTTGCCACAGTTTTTCTCATGGGTTCTCCAGTCACCTTTCACTGCCAAGAACTTCCCACATTTGCGGCACATAAAGGGTTTCAGCCCATGTTTCCTCTTATAATGTGTTTGCAATGTCCTAAAATCTTTTAGCGGCTTTGCGCTCGGATGTTCAATGTTGTTTTTGCATCCTTCCGCACAGCAGTAGCATGGAATGTCTAGCATGGCTCGCGGTTGGGTTCCTTTCAGCGACTCTGGTCCTTTACGATACTCTGAACCATGTCCCCACATGTGCATCTGTCACAGAAATCATTGCATATCAGTTCAAGAGGTAAGTTAGTTAAATATGCACATACATACAATAACTTGAATTTGATCTGAATTAACATGATATAGAGCAATTGCACCTGAAGATTATTGTAACGGTTGAAGGTTTTAGAGCAGACATGGCAAGAAAAATGTGTGAAGCCAATGAGGATTTCTTCAGGAGTTGGGATCCAATACTGTTTAGCAGCTCCATTGTCATTTTCCTGGCTGTTTGGATTGATGGAGATATTGGAAGGATTAGGAAGACCAATGTGCAAGGCCACAGTGACATCCTCTCCATCTTCACTGCATGCTTTAGGGTTTTGATCATCCAATGTTGTCTCTGTAGAGCCAAGAAAGCAGCTCAGCAATGGCATAGGCTCAAGAGAATTTTGCATTGCACCAGGAAAGAGATCAAGTGGCTCAAGATCAGTGTGGTTTGTACTAGAAACAAGATCAGAATCATATGAAATATCTGAAGGCTCCATGACACAAAAAAAGGCCGCAAGAGAAGAAGAATGTGGTTTTATTTTATTTAATTTGGGGAGGTTTTTATAATTGAATTGTGGTCAATTTTACAGGGTGATCATGAGAATTAAAGTCTTTGGGTAACAGAAAAAAGTTGAGGGTACGAGAATAGAGGTAGGGTGGCCGGAGAATAATGCAGTTGAATGAAAACAACCTTTGTTGAGGGGCTCATAAATATCTCCTGCTTTCTATGTTTATCTACTCTTGGGATGGAAAGGAAATACCATAAATTCTGTGGCCCAAGGCTTCTGACTTTAGCAAGACTTGCACTACAGAAGGTTGAAATTCTATGGCGATGTAGTATATGGTCTGGTTTACTCTCACCAGTAGTCAACACCACCTTGGGTATTAGATTGACAATTCCTTGCAGGGATGAAATGATTCTATTGCATGGACAGCACAAGTAGCACTTATTGTCTCATTATACAAAATCAATTGTAAAATGTGCAAAATGTAACTGTGACCGTGAATATTAGGATGTAGGTTTACTTTAAAAAGAGGTTTTCCTGCGTGTATGGACGTGCCTGGTATGCATGTATACAATTACTTAGACAAACAATGACTAGTCCACACCACATAGTCACATACCACTTAGCTATGAGCTAACTGTGGCCCGTTTGGCAGGCAATGCATGGTCAGGAAATTTGCTGCTCAAGCATTGATCTTTTTTCTTGTGTGATCCAGGATGCAAAATCCCCAGCCCCGGACCACAAACTGATACTTAGAAATAACATATATTGAAGATTGATCAATGCCGGTTTTTTCATCTTAGTTGTGCTCCATTCCAGTTCTTCTTTTGATAATTGACATCTCTCCAATCTAATTGATCCATTCGACCAAGTGATTACAATATTCTGTAATTATTCAGAACAATTTGTAACAAAATTGGCATAGCTACTTTTTAGTCTTCTGATCATGATGGGGCTCGGTTTTCATTTTCACCTGGAATATAATTCCCTTATCTTTCAAGGAACCAATGGCCTGAATTTGGCTGCAGAGGCAAAGGTGACAAATTAACACTGGTATAGTACTTGTAGTTATTGTTTCACCCTAAACCCTAATTTAATTTGTAAAAAGCTTTGTTGGACCCATTTCACAAATGCATGTAGCAGTCCTCACAAGAGTGTGATATTTACAACTGAACCAGTGTGCTATATGTACTCTCATAAGTCATGCCAGATAGTTGATTAATGGACTATCTATAACTAACCTCCATTTAAGACATTAACCAGCAGCAAAATTTTTGTAAAATGAACAAGTTTGATGAATTTACAGGCCATCATCTCCAAGGAGGCTAGCTTCTTACCATAAAGTTAGGATATGATTGCTTTTGTTGAAACTTTGGCTTTGAGTACGTATAACTAGTTATGGTACTAATTTCTAATCCTAATTCTTTTCCCATCACATTTGGTATTTGATTTCCCTAAACAATTGAACTATCGATAAAAGCGGAAAAAGAAATGCCTTATAGACTTACAAAAACTACATTAACTAGATAATTGCTGAAAATACACATTTCATTTTCCCCCATTTGGATAGGATCCAGGGGCACATATAATATATATATATATATATATATATATATATATGTTTGTTGAACAATGCCACCATGCAAAGGAGGGTCTGTGAAGTGTTATACAGCAAATCTTCTTCTTACATTTTCTTGGTTATTAATACCATGCAAAGAAGCCATAAAAGTAAGTAGGCTACAGTATTGCTTTCCAATAATTGATCCCATGGTTTTCAATCTCAAATCCCCAGCAAACTCACTCTTTAGGTGGCCAAAAATCAATTTTAAATCTTGAAAATATTGCTAATTAACTAAACATAATAACGAATTGTGATTTCAGAGGGAACCAAACTGAATTTGTTTCAGTTTGGCTCTTTCTGGTTTCAGCACATCCTCGAAATTGATCCAAACCAATTATTTATCAATAGCAATTGTATGTCTAGAGTTTCTACATGCTAGTATCATAATTAATGCCATTGGATATGGTGCACCTTTGCTTTTGATTAAACGCCATAGACAAAAGGAAAACAAAATGATGTTGAGAGCTAAATTGTTGATCAAAATTTTTTTTATTGAGGGACTGCCCTTCCCTCCTTTAGTTCATAGTTCATACAATTCTGTAAAGGATGTTAAACTCTTAATGAATGAATCACCTGAATGAATTTTTTTTCCTTGAGAATTAAAGAGGAAAAAAAAATTCTGCATAAAGTGGTTGATTAGTCCTTTTCCTGCCATAGGCCGTAGCATTAACTTGATGTAGTACCCACCCATCGGTAAATTGTTGAGAATATAAGAGTGAAATAAGGTGATAGGAAGAACATAAACTTATCAAGATTGTACAATTTGAACATTTTGGCAGGGATGAGTTCTTCCCTTTAGGTTTTTGGATCTTCAGAAGTGATGGCCCCAGCTTCTGGTTCTGTGGAGGAATGATGCGGAGTCAGTGAATCTGAGAACAAAATCAGTAAAAAAATTTATGATGAGCATTTATATGTGAAAACAACAATCTAATACGAGAGATGGAGTCCAATTTAAAAATGCATATATATTTCCATTGTTACAAAAACAATGCCCTGCAAGTGATGTTTCACTGACAAGCAGGGCCCCTCTGCCTGCCTAGCTTCCATGTTAAGTCCTTATTCATCACATTGGATAGGAGGCACTGTAAATTTGGAAATCTAACAGCCATGCAAACTACGATAGAGTTACTCTTTTACTGCACATTGATACAGTTAGCAAAGACCAATAGCTCAGCATATAAAATGAAGATAATTTAGGTTAGTACTGCTAAACTTAATGAGGATTTCAAGATAATTTTTGGCCATCTTTCTTGCTCAAATTGCTTAACTATATCGTGTGGTAAAGTCATTCTTTATTTATCCGTCATATTCCAAGAGAAGTTATTTGCCTGATCAGTACAATAGAAATACAAAAGGGTTTGATGTGTCAAAAGGATGTGTGAGAATATTAACTTTGCTACTTAAAATTTGGTTAAACCAATTCATATTCTTATATACGAGTAAAAAAATGGTTAAAACAGTGGCAGTGCATAACATGGTTGGTGGGCCTCTCCGTATTCGACCACTTGACTGCATGATCAGAATTAACCATCATCCCTGATACTGAAACCACATGCCGTCACTATTAGTTTACACTACGCTCCTCTGTCATGACTTTCTATTGACCCATCATTTGGGTCATGGCAATAACCAGACAGCTCATTCACATGTTTGAAGTTGCCCATGTGGGCCCCCCCGGCTCTTTGGCGCATGCTACACTAAACCCTAGTACTATATATTATCTGTGAAAGAATGTGTATGTGAAAATTAGAGGAAGAAGATAGAAAATTACTACTACTTATTATGGATATCAAAAGCAAATGAGCATTTGACTCAATGGCAAGTGCATTTTTTCTTTTACTCAAAGACTTGGATTCCGAATCCTCGCCTCCCAAATGTAACAAAAAGTACTGAAACTAAAAGTTCATAACATCTACGTATATTCAGTATCATCATCAGCATTAGAGAAGTAGTTAATTCAGTATCATCATATATATGAAGCCTAATTTATGTGGGGATTCAATGGTAGTAAAAAATGAAAGGAACAGAGAGAGATAAGAATTATTTACCTGTGGAAGATGGAAAGGGATGCCTAGTGAGATGAAAGGGTGGGGGAGGATAGGTGGAGAAGGACCCCTCTATCTGAGTTGGATAGTAGAGATAGGACGGTCCGGGGATACGTTGAGCCTGGGGTGCAGAAATTGTTCCCCGGGGAGCTTGCAAAGAATAGCCATAGTAATACGGAGACCCCATTGTGGTAGATGATGATCCATACGGTTGATGATAGTATTGTGGCTGCTGAATTTGTGGATTATAGAAAGCCTGCACGTCCATTCAATAACACTCCTTACCAAACACTGTTGGCTCAAATATGTACTTACTATTCGAACAAATACAACTTATAATTATTGTTCTTAATTTTGAGTTGAATTATTCTTAAGAAATTGCCAGAGAAGCAGGATTCATTACTTACTTGGTGATACCCGTATTCAGGACTGTAATTTGGGTACCTGTAAAGGTAGAATTCATCAAAAAATTTTGTAGAAATAAGAGCAAACCACTTGAAACTATTTAAAAAAAAAAAAAAAAAACAAATTCTTTCCATTAGAAGCAAATTGCAGGAAGCAGCATCCTTACATATAATAAGGAATTAATGGTAGCTAGCATATAAATATAAGGGACTTATTGCAACGCTACCTTAAGGTCCTACCATGATGGCAATTGTTAGTACTAATGACAACATTGGCTTTGTTAGGTACTCAAAATTAATTCAAGGTATTGATCTAATAAAGTTTTACAATGATGTAGCACGAAGATATCCAATGACGATATTTATGTGTATATATGTGTCTGATGTAATTGAAAGGTATCTCGTCAACAAATACTATATTTTTGGTCAGGAATATTTAATTATGTACTAATGTCTGGTCTTCTAGTATATTATATGTGTATATATATTTTCTTTTTCACCTAATAATATGCTTAGGTGCCAGAGGGTAATTACCTCTATTAGTTTTCCCCCTAAAACCAAATGCAGCTAACAATATTTAAACACAGGAAAAGATGGGTATGCGCTCATGAATCATGATCTTGGATGATAAGCGAAAAGGTACCTCAAGTTCCACTAGTATTAAAAATATGATCACAAAACACCTCTTATAAATTTAAAAAAGTAGAACAGAGGCAAAAATAGTTGGATTTCGTCATTGTAACAGATGTCTATGTTTATATGTGCACTTGATTCCATGCTTTAGCCATTTTATTTATGTACTTGATGTTTGCCTTTAAGTATTGCATCTGCTAGCAAAACCCAAACTAAAAGTTCAAAGCAGTCCTAGAAATGATCACATAATCTATTGAAAAGAACTTAAAGCCAACTGAGAGGAACTAGTCTATTATTGTATGGAACTTTAATTAAATGCACCATACATCAAGAAATGTTAACAGTAAATGAGCTGGAGCATTGCTTGAAATTCTCTCGGCAGATGAGGGCATTGACCAACTTAATTCAACTATAATCTTTTTTTTATGTATTAATCTTTTTCTGTCACTCTGAGCTGCCTGGGATTATAAGCAAATAGAAAGTACATAATACAGAACATACTAATTAGCAGGCTAAAAATAGATCCCTTTGTATAAACTCATATATCTACATCCTTTGGGACCACTTTGATATATACATTTGGGCAGTACAAAGTATAGCCATACTCTCCGTTATTCTTGCTGGATTTCCCAATTTGATTACCTGACTTAATTTTCATACACCATAAGAATTAAACTAGATTATTAAATTGGTTAACACATGGAAATATGATCATTCACAATAAGGGGTTACAAACTCAAATGTACATTAGGATCATTAAAGTCCATAGCTCTTCAATGTTTCTTAGTATAAAATAAAACTAGGAAACTGCCCCTCTGGTTAAACTTTTTCATTTGTTTTTTTTTTTTTTTTTAGCCACAGCAGTGCCTCTAGTAGCCTTTTTTCAGGGCTCAGTTTTATGCCAGTATATGCCACGTAAATTATATCATTGACTGCATTGATAGTGTAAGTTTCCCTTTTTTTTTTTTTTTTCCTTTTTGTGTTTTTTTTATCTTAGTGATGACAAATTTCTAGTCAAATGCATTATTACTTTACTATCTACAATCTGATATACCAACTGCATTGAGGAAACACATCATTAAACATAATGTAAGACTCATATTATTATGTCCAAGCAAAAATTTGAATGCATATGGACCACTTTCTTCTAAGTAGAACATGGACAATCAATAGCTTGAAAACAACAGTGATACTTACCCATAAGGTGGATAAATGACAGGAGGTGGTGGTGGCGGAGGTGGAGGCACTGTTGCTGCAACTCCACTATAAGATGGCGCACCTTGATGTGCAACTCCCTGATAAGGACTGCTGCCTTGATTTCTTCCTGCATAAAAACTTCATTATTGTCATCATCTCTTTTTTTTTTTCACTTTCAATAATTGAATGGGCAAAAGTGCAACTCATATCAAAGAGTATGGGGACCTCGTGGCGGTGAAGGTCTAGGCCTTCCAAGTGAAGCAATGTTACAGTTCGCTCTTCTTCCATCAATTACAGGATTTGGATCAACACAAGCCCTCCTAGCTGATTCAGGGTCACGGAAAGTAACCTACAGAAATGAAGTGATATTTTTCAAATTAACACCTTAATGAACAAGATACTTAGCCATTAACAAAGTTATAGACTAATAGAACTTACAAAGCCATATCCTTTAGATTTGCCTGTGTTTTTATCAGTAATAATAACAGCCTCAAGAATCTCTCCAAACTGCTCAAAATATCTTCGCATTTCTGCCGTTGGTGTTTCCCAAGCTAGTCCCCCAACAAATACTTTTGTAAACGTTGTGTCACCAAAAGGTGATCGGTAATGTGGATAAGCCATGGCATCTAAACAAACAAAACGGGAAATGGGTAACTTTCCTTTTGCATCAAACTCTTTTGGTGTGGATGATCACATTTACAGTTGACAAGAATGGAGAAAGCTTAATCTTCTGTAATTCCACATCATTCCCTTTTCTTGTTGCTCTACTATGCTTGTCTCTATATCCATATTCACAGTCCCCCCTTTTTTACCACAAAAGAATCATTGAAGAGGGACAGAGAATGAGATGAATCCTAGTTTATGATGTTATAGAAGTTGTTGACTATTGTTATTATTTGATGGGTTGGTTAATAAAAGAGAAAGCCAGAATGGGAAAAAAGGAATGCAAGTAGTAGTTTAAAGAGAGAGAGAGAGAGAGAGAGAGAGAGACCCGACAGCTGCAAACGCTAATTTGCTGTCTATTGAGATATTGAGAGAGGGGAAGGGGGTTGGGTTTGTAATATCGAATGACAGCTGCGTGACTGAACGCACTTTAGCCTGTCTTCCCTGTCTCTGCATTAATATACTCTCCCAACCCCTCAACCAATAGTCCTTATTTTTTGTGTTTCTTTCTGTGTGTTGTCTTTTTAGTCTTGCCTCAACAAAAACTGACTTTTCTGGCTTCTTAATGTTTATTTATGCATGACTTGTAGTATTAGTTGATTGTTATTAATTGATATGAAAATTAATATCATGGTGTGTCAATCAAAATCATATGGCAGATTATAATAAGTAGTAATTAATTTGGATTTACAGAAAGAAATTATTTAATGTGATTGGTGCCACTAAGAAATCATTTAATGTGATTGGTGTCACCGTGTCTTTACCAAACATATATAGAACAAATTAGATTGGTGATTACTCTAGGAGGGGGAAATAAGATAATAGGTTTAATTATATTTAAAGATTATGAATTTGAATCAAATTCTTTTTTTTTTTAACAAAATAAGCAGCAATATGAAAATAAGAAAATTGAATCAATTTAATTAAAATTTAGATTGCGACATAATTTTTTGAATAAAAAATATATGCTAAGCATGGAACTGAATCATGGGTTCACCATTTAAAGCATTTTTGTTGTTAAGTACATAGAAGGGGTCCTTTCATGTTCCCACATGAACCCATGTTCCTAACCTCCTCTAATCATAAGTTGTTTATATACAAAAGCCAACTTCCAAACAACAAAAGCAAAGAATATAACAGTTAGGATCACATAATTAATCAGTGAATGGTGATAAAAAATCATGTGCAAACGAGTGAGTCATGGGGTGGCTGCCTTTAAATCAAAATCTCAAAACTCACATAGCATCAAAATCATTCACCTTTGGTCAATCATATTAAACAAAGTTGATGTCAAGCAAAAAATGTTTGGATTAGGCATTAAAACTTTATATAATATTGTTAACGGATGACCATGATATTGTCCACAAACCCCCCCGAGAAGCACAATGTCTTGACTTTCCACATTTCCCAATTGGAAATGCATGTCTGTCATATCCCTTGTTGTAAAGCTACCCATGGTTTAAAAGACAATCGAGCTTTTTCTCTAAAGAAACCCTTGTTTTGGCTGATGAAAACAGAGGCGCACGCACAAGCAAAGAAAGGGTCAGTTTATCTTAGCTTGTTGCCAGCGTTAGGGACGAGGAGACAGCTATAAGAAACTCTAGCTTTATGAAAACTGCACAAGTCCGTGAACTGGCAGTTCTCTCCACGTGGGGTCGTATCACTCTTTGAGAACAATGAGCTGGATTTCATCTACTTTCTTTCTCTTGTTTCCATGGGTGAGTGAGATCCACCAACTGGCTCCATCCATCAGACCAAAGCCAATCAAATGATCAATGGCTATTTAAAGTTGCAGTCTTTATGCATCTCTCAAGTCTCAACCCAAGTTGCTTTGAGAAAAATAAAGCATTTTCTCCAGTATTCTTTCCTGAGAGTCTGCCAGTAATGCTTCAATTCTCCCACCACCAAAATGGAATTGCCCTTTTTGACGTTGTCAAGAACCACTGTTCCCATTGCCTGATACCAAAAGCTGATTATCCATTCACTTTCTTTTGGATATTTTCTCATCACTTCAGCGAAAATCTTTTGATCACTTTCTTTACATTGTAAATCTTGAATTATATATGGACTATAAGCAGTTCAATTCCGAAAGTACTTTTCTAATACCATCTATTCTAAATTGAAAATGTTGAGTTGGTTTCGATTATATTTTTGTCAAATTTATATCTTTGATAAATAATTCAATACTTTTGAATATGAAATTTGAGATTATCATACTCTCTTCCACTTGTATTATCCAATTAATTACAACAAGATGATTGGTCTTAAAAGAAAAAGAAAAAAGAAATCTTTGTTCTGTTTTAAAGTAACATGCCACATCCAAGGAAAGGGACCTATGTCTGAGAAATCAAGAGCCCATGGTCAAAATTATTTAACTTATAGGCGACCTGTCTTTAGACATTGGGTTCAGTTCCACCCCTATTTGGGTACAAAAACACATGGTATTATTTTTATGGAGTTGGGACATGTCCATCGTTTCACTCAAAAAACTTGTTACAATTTGGGTCATGAACTACCCTAAGTGTCACCAATTAAATGAAAAAAATAAAAAAAAAGACAGGATGACAAAACATTAACTAAAAAAATTTAAGCTGTTTTGACAGCTGCTCTAACTCTATAGTAAATGTTCTTAACAGATTCACAATATCATGTTTGCGAGATAAGATGCAATTAAGCTTGCAGGTGTAGCATTTAAGACCTACATTTGAAACCCACTAATGTAAAAAAGGCATTCAAAGACCTAATAAGATTGAAAGTTGAAAGCCTAAACTGCCTACTCTGTGCTGATTAATGGGCTTTGATGATTGGATGGTGATGCAGAAAACCAAACAATTTGGCATCAAAATACATCACCAACCTATGGGGATTCAAATTTATAGTCTTGTAGTCTGAGTATGGTGCTTAAAAGTTTTCCCTAAAAAAGAAAGGATGGATTCTACCAGCTTTATGTATTTATGTTCTTCCCCTTGGTTGGTTAATTGATTTCTTCTCAGACATGGCAGCAGGTTATTGAAAATTGAAATGGAAACGAAAATGATAGTCTCCTTAACCATATCGAAGGTTTTCCTTTGCCGGTAGGATTGGCATTTAGTGGCAGCTATGGAAAATCGTTGATTAAAGACATTGCGGAGCTCAAAATGTCCTATGATGGGCCGACAAATTTATGTACAGTTAGCTGCCCATAATCCAGTGGGTGGCCTAAAGACCAATAGCCTGATTGATAAAGAAAAAAGGAATATACAAGAGAAATAAAGGGTTTTTTTCTGAAAAACAAAATTATGATGAACATGGAGATATATGATTATAAATTTATAATTTCACAGTGAAATCTGTTTTCCTGACTCAGTAGATAAAAATCCATCACTCATTCTCATGAGTAACTGGCCGAAAAAAATTCTCATGAATAGCGATATGGCCCGATGAGTTATGGCCCGTCAAGGTTTTTGGTGGTCTTATAAATCCTTTTTTCTTATAAATTTTGGGCAATTTTGGACCAAATAATTAGGCTTGATAAAGTTTGGGTCTGGGCCTAAATTTGGCACTTGAAAGCTCAGAAAAGCTTGAAGTATAGATTCACAGTGTAACTTTTTTTGTTAATTTTATATTTTCTTAACCTTTAATTTTAGTAAATTTAAGAAATAAGAAAATTAAATAAAAAAATATGATTTAATCTCATCTTTTAAATTTATTAAATTAATGATTAAAAAAAATATAAAACTAAAATAAAATTACATCATGTAAATTGATCCTTCATCTATATATATAAGAGCTTATATTAAATATTTTTAAGGATTATTTAGTATCAGGACTTTTAATTTTATGTTAGTTTATTGATTTTAAAGAACGTTGCTTGATTTTCACAAACAGCCAATGGGCTTTTCTCACTCTGCTAGGCCCCTGGTCAAGCTTCAATAGGTTTAGAAGAGCTAAGAAAAAGAAACACAATGGGGTGGTGGCGCAGTTGGCTAGCGCGTAGGTCTCATAGCTTCCGAGTTATCCTGAGGTCGAGAGTTCGAGCCTCTCTCACCCCATGGTCTTTTTGTGTTTACCATTTCCGTTATTGAACCCAAGTAGGCAGTAGCAACGGCTTTCAATCCTTTGAGAATAATATTGCAATTAGAGGTAGAAATATAAATGATATATTAATATTTATAAATTATTTGAATTTAATATAAATAAAATTTAAATTTGATTTAATTATTATTAAATAGAATTTAAATTTAAGTTAGTTAATTTATTCATCAAATTGAATTTAAATATTTTATATTTGATTTAAATAATTTATAAATCTAATTAAAATTTTATATTTTAATTATTTTAATTAATAAAATATCTCAAATTATAATTTAAATTTAAATACAAATAATCGAATTTATATTGAAATTACACCCTTAATTGCAATTGTTTGACGTTTACCTTTTGAACTTTATCAACACTCCACTTATATATGCATTGTCTCTTACGTCAGGCTTATGCTATTTTGCGTCATGCACGCCGATGCTTACCTTGGATTGAGAGTTTTCACGCTTGTCGCTACCGTTATATTTTTCAGCTGAATCGGAATCAGACACCATGCTGTATGCTGTATGCTGTATGCACTCGAGCACTGTCAATTTTGTCTGTCTGTATCAATGTCCAAACGTGGACTCATCTAAGTTGCCATGTGAATGTGAATGAACTTCATTCCATTTTGTTTGTTTTGGTGAAATGACTTCAATCTTGGCCCTCATAGAAACGATCTTTGGCTCCTTGCCAATTCAAAAAGTTGGGTTCAGTCTACTAACATTTTTGGATTTCTGGCACATTTTGAAATGTATGTTGCATATGCTCTCAGGTTAAGAAAACCATGTTTTCCTTGGCGTCGTAATTTGCTTATTTTCTCTTCCTTTTGCAATCTATTGTAACTTAGATATCCTTATTCTGCTGTTCATCTTCATTCCAATGAAAAAACTGTTCGCCTACGGCTATTCCCTGTCTTAAGTGAAAGATTTTCGATTTTTAAACCACCACTTGATATTTTAACAGAGAAACAACACGGGGGATAAGTTTAATCTGTCTATCAGGTTGTGAAATTGGAAAAAATGCCTTCACTCACATAGGACCGCAAGCTTAGTACAATATCGGAAATTACTTCAGTTTGCAAACGGTTAACCCTGTTAATCACTCCACTGTCATGATCAATATATGGTTCATATAGTTTAATCTAAAATTTAATTTAATTGATTCATACAATTATTTTTAAAATATAACATCTAATAAATTAAAATTTTAAATTTTAATACTTATAATATCTTTGATTATCCCTAGGTGGTGAACTCTTTTATACCAAAAGAAAGATCATATAGTTTC